CTTCTTCCTCCCCTCTTTCTTCAGTTTATTCTTCAGTTTCCCCCTCTCCTTCACCCTCTCAGTCTTCCTCTTCTCATAGTTCTTCTTCCCTTTTACTTTCAGGTTCTTCCCTTGCCCCTTCCCCTTCTTCTTCTTCCATAAATAGTCCCACTTTAAGTTTTTTTCAACACTCTCCCAACCTTTCCCCTCCTAAGATTACACCTACTCCTTCACCCTCTTCTTCCCCTATTCCGGGACCTTCAAACGTCCCCCTTTCTATTTTTTCCCCTATTCCGGGACCTTCAAACGTCCCCCCTCTTATTTCCACTCCCCCTTTCCACTCCTCTCCTCTTCAATTTCTTCCACCCTACCCAATTTTCCTTCTTCTTCCCCTTCATTTTTTCCTCCTAACCCTTTCGCTCTTCCTTTTTCCGCCCTCCCTAATACTACTGTGTATCATCCTCCCCCCTTCATTCCCATCCTCCTCCTCTTCTTCTACCTTAAGTTCCCCTTTTTCAACTCCCTCCACTTCTTTCACAATTTCCTACCCCTTCTTATACCCTCCCCGTTTTCAATCGCCCTTATATACATTATCGTCTTCTTAGGTGGCCAGAGCCGATCCACCTGGCATTTTTGTTGCAATCCCATTTATTCTCCCTCATAGCCAGTGGCCCGAACCAATGGATCTTAATCCTCCTGGTATATACGTGGCCATTGATTATGGTTTTTATCCCTTCCCCTTCCGTTTTTAACTGGTCACCTCTTTTAGTTTCGTCGTCTTGGCCGGCACTTAAAACAAGCAAACTTTTTTTTGTTTTTGGGAATTGGCAAAAGAATCAACGCAAAATGACATAATAAAGGTAGAGGAGTTTTGTGAATATTATGAAGAAGAATTTGAACATCCTTGGTTTAGGGAGGGAATTTTCGCAACTGAATGGGCTAAAGAGCGTGAATTAACCTACCAAAATATTAAAAAAAGAGATTTGCCCAAAAGAGTTTATTTTGAAGTTAAACATTAGACTGGTAAATAATAATATTTTTTCTGGTTTCATAAAAACAACCAATTTATTTTCTTTTTAGTATCTATTCATCCAACAAAATATTTGAATTATTTGTTTAATCAATTCATTTTTTCGGATTGAGTTTGGGAAAAGAAAAATATTAACAATTTCTGAGAGGTTTTTGAAAAAGGAACTGATGTCGTTATCAACTGCTCAGGATTAGGAGCAAAAGAACTTGTTGAGGAAGATGATAAAAAAACAAACTCTTTCCTATTGGAGGACAAGTGGTTATCACTAAAATGTACTTGGACAAGCCAATTGGATTTAAGTTCAAAAGAAATGAAGGACAAAAAACTTATTTCATCACTCGCGTTAAAGATGAAAATGAAGAAAAATACGAAGTTTTCTTTGGTGAAACTTATGTAGGAATCCCTTTATAATCCTTGTTTTTTTAAAGAATTTACTAATCTCGTTTTATTCCAAAATAGGATGAAAGAAACAGTCAAACTGAACCCGATCCTCAAGTAACTCAAGAGATTATTAAAGGATGTAAAGAAGTGAGGCCTGCTTTATTTACGAAAGAATTGGAAATCGTGGCAAAAAAATGCGGACTTAGACCCTATAAAGAAGGTGGAATTAGGATAGAGTTAAAACCTTTTGGCGATAAAGGTTGGATTTGCCACAATTATGGTTATAGTAAACAAGGTAATGTTCATTTTTTTTGTTTAACAAGTTTTTTTTCCTTGACTGAAACTGATTTCTTTGGTAGGTTTTCAATCCAGTTATGGTTCTGCTAAGGAAGTGATTAAAATCTTGCATGAAAAAAAATTCTTTCCTAGAATCCCTGTTTTTTAACCTTTTAAATAGTTGATATTTTTTCTCTTTCCCTAATTAGGTTAGGTTTTAGGGAAAGTTTTTTTCTGATCTTGGTTTTTTTCAACTGCATTTTTACTTCGTTTTTTCTATCTGGTGGTTAGATTTTATCTTTTTTATGTATTTATTTTAAGTTTTTATCGCGACAGTGTTAGCTGCAAAATTAACATTATTAAAAGATCATCAAAATTGATCTATAAATTATTATTTGACTTAGTTGACAAAT